CGCGGCCGCCCCCGCCGTGCCTGCCCCAGACCCCGCAGCGATCGCGCTGCACCCCCGAGCGCGCCCTTGAGCGCCCTTCCCTTACTGCCGAGCCAGAAGTGGGTAACTGCAGGCACGGGGCTGTGTGCTCCCACCGTAGTGTTTCCGTGACTGCATTCTTTCACTGCCGCTTCACTATTACCCACTTAAAGGTGATTTCTAAACGTATTTACAATTTTAGTTATTATATGCTATTACTAGTGAATATTTCTTAAAAAGATAAAACGCCTAAACTTAGTCTGTATCGATATCTCAACCCCTGAGGGCTGATGGAGGCTGAACAATCCCCTGCCTGCCCATTAGTAAATCGCTACAAGCACACACCGAGGAGTCACTGTGTCATACAGGGCCACAGATGCCAGGGTAAGAAGAAAGTCTGGTCTGTCTCCTAGTAACCTACTGATATGCAGAGTAAAGGGTAATTTAAAACTAGAATGCCTCACATAATCCAAAATTGTAAGTACAAGAGCAACTATATGAGGCAATTAATCTCACAGGTTGTAAAATGCATTATAAGAAATTACAGTCTATTAGCTCTAGAAGATAACAAAATGTGGACATGGCATTTGCAATAAAAGTATAATTCAGCTTGCATGTCAAATCCTGATCTCACTGCATGGCTTGCTCACCTTTATTCCTAGCTCCTTTGCTTCTCAGACTAGAGGATACGGGCATGTTCAAGACTTTTGGAGGCCACACGAGAGTCACAGCTCATATGTGGGCCTACATGCAGCTTCTTGCCATTTGAAGAGAGCAGGGTTGCCAAATTTTACGAATTTAATGGAAACCAAAATTTGTTCTTGTTCTGAATCTGTAGGATTAGAACTTCCAATAAATATTTTTGCTCTATCCAGCACTACAAGTAGAAGCTGGTACAAAGACACCATCCATCTGTTAACTCTAAGATGTGTAATTCAATGAGATAGTTTTAAAAAAATTGGGTAAGCACGTATACAGACAGAATATATATTATTTTTCACTATGCATGGAACACAGCTTGTAGATGACTTTTGTCTGTAACGTACCAAATGCTTTCTCCTACTTGTTCTAAATTCAGACTTACAAATATAGACACTGATGCTGGATCCCAGGCCCACTGAAGTCAATGACAGAATTAATGCTGGTTTCAACAAGGTCAAAATTCTTCCTTTTTTAGAAAAATCAAATAAAATGAACTAAAGCAGAAGAAAGGAATGTTATAAAGAATGGCCTGTTACTGCATTTTTATGAATTTAAAAGTTTAAACAAGTTACAATCCTAATATGAATTTATTTTCTGTTACTAAAGATAACATTTTAAATAGCTGTAAAAAGCTGCCAGGCTTCCTGTTATCAATAACACAAATGAAATTCCAGCAACCTACATCAGCTGCCAATGCTGGATACATGGTTCATGAGCCCTGCTCCTTGTCTGAGCACAAGCCTTACAAATTAAAGGTCAGGAGCTTTATTGGTGTGCTGGGGAAAAAGGTGCAGGGCTGTTTAAGGCTCCCTCATTCTCTTGGGCAAGAAGAGAAGGAATATCAGATGCAGATGATTCAGTTCAGACACCGACCTCTGCAGACTCCAGTAGGATTACATGAATCATGCCTACCGAGCCTGAGCTTTCCCTTCGTGCTCAGATTACTCACACCGCCAACCCTAGGATTAGCATACAGCTAATTTCTTATGCATCAGACTTCGTGCTAATGACCTTTCTTGTAGGGAAGAAGCCTTTGCAACTTCTCAGTATCAGGCTAAGCAGCAGCAGAATTTTCCCTGAAGTGCACCTCAGTAAACCAGTGACCCAGTTAGATAAATTCGGAAGTTTGTCAGGAGCAAAACGGCCAAAGCTGTTGTTTATATCATGGTAGCCATCAAATTTCTTAACAAACCAGTAATCAGAATTAATTACTGGAAAACGTGCCCTAAGAAAAATTGGAAAACATGTTTGAGATCCTGAAACTGACCACAAGGTTTCACTTGCCTTCAAAGAAAGATTGATGAAAGATTTAGTCACAGCAATCATAAAATTCCCATAGGCATCTAGAATACAAGAAGGAATAAAGATGGAACCATGATGTGCCTCATTATACAAAGGTATTTGGCCAAGATATGCAGTAGTTCTTGGACAAAGAAAGAAGCAGTGCACATTTTTTCACACAAATAGAACCAAGTTTGTTTTTATTTTATACATCACTAACTACCTCAATAGTTAAGTCAAACTTCTAAACTATACAGACCTTTTGGCTATGGAGTTCAGCTATGCCATCTTCAGGTAGTGGGTATGAATCTGGTATCAGAGCTGGGAAGAAGGTAATGCTGGTGACCTAGTAGCTCTGAGCAGGGTTTGCACAATGAAATTGCTGCACACCCTAATGCAGGATTTCTGAGCACCTTCACCTGCAGCCTTAGCTGTCTTGTTTTCCAAGGAAGTAGTAGAATTCCTCTATTATTTAGAAACACTTTGTACTCTAGGACCACACTGTCCACATGTGTGTGGCAAACCTTTTTGTACAAGCCAAATATCTTCCTCACATTTTCCAGGATTTTGCAGAAGAAAGCTTAGAATCTTCTACATGTCATATAAATAAGAAAAATTAAGAGTCCCAACAATTATTTTTCTGTCTTCTTTGTATTTTAATTTTTTCATCTTCTGCTCTAATTTATTGTTCTAATGGGTGCCAAGCCAAACCAACCCCAGCGCAGATGGTCTTACGTGCTTTGACAGTGCGCTTTGCCCTCCATAAGGTGCCATCTGCCTGTTTATCTTTTGTCAGCTCAACTAATCCTGGTTCTCTGAGAGACAAAAGAGGACAACTTTGCACATCACTGATTCTGCCTCTGCCTCCAGCCTGACCAACTCATAGCTGATAGTAAGAAATCTACCATAATCCATTTATTAGTGACAAAGGAACTTCTTCAAGCTAATTACCATCTTACCTGTTATTTATAGGTAGATAAAATCTACTAGCATAGACACAAGTATGCAAGTGACTCAATAAAGCAGCTGTTTTCCCAGATGATAAAGGTAAACAAATGGTGTAATAGAACTTAGTACACCTTTTAACTGTTAAGTAACTAACAGTTTATTTAAGCAGCTTGTTTTTTGCAGGGGGCACCTACCCAAGTGGTATTTCTGCATCTCTGTGTGTGTTCATGGCTTTGTGCAAACAGTCCTTAGGGGCTTGTTACATGTGGAGGCCATCTCCCTTACCTCTGGATTCAGCCTTCTGTCTTGAGATGGGAGCTGATTATCCTCTCCAAGTGACTTTGAGGTTGCAAATAAAAGGTTTATCAGATTAGCACTATGAGCACTGACATTGTGACTTTAAGCCATCATGACAGCAGAATCATGGAAGCTGGAATTAGCTTTTGAAGGGACAAAAGCACCAGTTCTATCACCTCCTATTTCCAAAGCAAGAGCTCTTGAGCTTGCATTAATCCAGAGAGGAAGTGTATCAAAGTGACAGCAAGGTAGAGAGTCCTGGATGTATTTTACTGCAGAACAAATAGCTCTTAACAATGTATGAACTACAAATGAAGGTAGGTCATTTTTGATGTGGATATGAAAGATATCCTAACAGCACCACTTCACATTAACACCCATCTTTCATCCCAAATCCATGTCCTAGCCAAGTCCTCTAATCTCCCAAACAGCATACACTTGCACATGCCTCCAGGCCAGGACATCCCTAGACATTTCAAGGGGTGCTGGCCCAATCTGAGTGTTTGTTGTACACACTCTGTGCTATAGGATGAAATAATACCATTCCAGCAACGGCAGAATTTGAAGATCCACAATTACTTTATTGAATAATAAAGTAATAAATAATAAATATCCTATAAATATTTGAACTAGCATTAACTCATCAGCCTGCTACCTGAAAGACCAGGCATTTTTGGGCATGCTTTAAGCTGGCATTTTTGAGTTTAGTAGCAATCTATTGTCTTTCTCTGAAAATTCAGTTATTTATGGAAAGTTTTGTTGACTTATCTTACTTAATTTAATTGTCTGTGGCAGAACCTCACCACAACTGGCAGTGTTACCTTCAGTTTTCATCCAGAAACTTGACAAATTAAAGTTTTCCATAGGGAAAGAGTTTTGAGTGGGAGGCTCAATGAGATCAGTAGTCTCCAAAGTGGAGTGTGGGAAGAAAATATTGAATACAATTTTATAAATTACAAAATAAAATAATAAATAAGCAGGGTTAAAAACAGAAATTGAAAATATTATAGTGTAATATAAAAAATATACTAGTACAGTGGAATATTGTATATAATTTATAAATTAATAAATAATGCTTAAAATATTTAAATGATGGGGTATATGACAAAAAGGGCTTGGAGACTACTGAAACAGATTGTCTGAAGGGGCTCCCCTTCCCCCCAACATTTCTGTAATACACATTGTGTTTTGGTATTAATTCTATAAACCAATGTTTTATTAGTCCCACATTAATTTCCCATAGCTGTATATAATCAACAAGAATGTGTGGTTTTTACATTCTGGTTTCTACCTCAGACAATTTTTTTACATTAATAATATCTTGCATCAATCAGAAAATCTTTCAAACTGGAGCCAATTTTCCATAATTTCTTCCTGAGAAGAACAGAACTTTATGGCAAACATGTTTGCACCCTTAGCTAAATGCTATGTTAACATAAAATACATAAAACACATCTGGGCCTTAAAAGACTTGCAAGTACATAAGATTTGCTGCTGAAATAATAGAGTTAATGGAAGCTTTTTTGTGATTACAAGTAATGTTACACACCCCTAAGACAGCATCACTTTTAGAGAGATCTTTGTCACAGCCCAGATTTTGTGCAGGTGTGTCACAGTAAAGAGATTTTTTTAATACCATATATACACAACATATGAAACTGCAATAAATGAACAACTCCATTCCACTATGTAGCTGACTAGATGACATGTTAAAAATAATCAGTAAAAAGAAATAAATCTTGTGACACTTCAGCTATTAATGAACAAGCTTTTAATACAAAGCATTTTATAGAAGACCTTTAAAGTGGTCTGAACATAAGATCCTAACTAGTACAAAACTATGCTGCTCATAGTAGTTTGAAGTTAAATTCTATGCAGACTACTGCTTTCACTCAAGATATTCTTCAAAAGATGCCATAATATCTCTCTGCAGATTCACATCAATTATCCAAGCTGTCTGCAAGAAAGCAAACAAGTGTCTTTTCAGAGCAGTCAGACATTAACAAATACTATGCAGGTCAAATACCTAATGATCTAGGAGAAAACTATAAAGCATCTTCTCAAAAAATGTATGTCTTTTCTGTTATGACAAGTTTGAGTGCACATGTTGCCTTCAGAAAAAAGCTGAAGGATGAAAGCTTCAGTTGAAGTTATCTGAATCCAGCACAGTCTCACACTGGTGCTTCCATTCCATTGTACAACACTATGAATTTTTAATTTTTTTTTAATCTAAAAAAGGTAGCAATTAAAAAGAATTAATTACTGTCACCAATAAAACCAGTTAGTTTTAAAAGGCTCAGGCCTGGAATTTCATACCAGAACAGTATGACTAGCACTTTTGTTGATACAGAACACATTAAGGAGGATGGACAGCTTGCAACACTCAAGGTTTGAAATTATTTAGAGGGCAGGGGCTCCTCTTCAGAACTTTATTTTACTACACAATTATTCTAAGCTTATGGGAGTACTGGCACCAAGCAGATAGCTTTTCACATGATGTCAGTTGAAGACACACTTTGAGTTTCCTATTGCATTTTCTGGACTACCTCTTCATGTGGTATAGTTCTGTTGTTTTCAATCATTCAGATCCTTTGAAATAAGAACCTGACACAATATCTGTTTATTCTCTAGTAAAATTGAAAAAAAAAATCACATGGCAAGAGTCAGAAACTTACTGCTTCCTTCCTCCTGCGTTCTTGTTCCATTTTTCTAGCCAAGTTACGGTCTTGGTCAAGAATATGTTGTTGAGCTTCAGGCACTTTACTCTTCTGTATTTCTTTTTCAAGGTCACAGTGTGTCTCTGCCATGGCATCCAGTCCTGTGCTTTCATGGCCCCTTTAAAGACAGGAGAAGAAATCAGTATAGGATGAAAGTTCTTTTTTTTTTTTTCATAACAACCTGATAGATTTCTGCGAATAATTTAAATCAGTGCCTAGCACTTAAAGTGTGATTCTCACTGTTTTCCTTCACAAGAGTTTTGTGTACACAACTGTTGGATTGTAGTAGGTCTATGTTTCCTGTGTCCCATTTCTAACCTGTATGCATGTGGGATTTATAGATTTGCTACACAAAATTTACATATGCTTGCTTTGAAATTATTTTATCTTACTTTCTTGGCCTGTGATGTTTTTGTTTTACCTTCTTCCTCTTCACTTAGTTTTTTGAGGTAGATTTCACTGGCTTCTGAACCAGGAGTATACTCTTAAGTCTCTTAAACGCTCTGATTATTAAAATAAAACAATCCAAACAATTGACTTATTCTAATACAACCAGCAATGGGCAAGTGCAGGAGAATTCAGGAAGCAGCTCAGTTTTATCTTTCACAGGGTAAAGCAAGCAAGGAAAAAACTGCAGACTGCTGGGAAGGGTAAAATTGCAAAAAGTGTTTCCAAAAGGTGGCAAACAAACTCCAGGATATTACTGTAATGCGGTAATTAGTAGGTAGTCACTTATCCCACTCAGTGTGACCCCATAGACCTCGGGGCACTGCCTGAGACAGGAGCTGCAAACAACTAGGGAAGAATACTACAGGAGAGGCTTATTGAAGGTGCTTTTCTACAGCAGTGCAAAGAATTCTGCTGTGTGAAGTGGTGCACACAGGAACCCCTGTATAGCTATGTTAACACTATGCTCTCAAAGACTAGACTATCCTGTATCCCCTTAGGAGAGCACTAAGATGAGGACATTCCTAACTACAGGTATAGGAAAATAAGGTAAGTGTGAACTCTGGTCATGAGTGGTCCAGGGGACCAAAACCCCTCATCTTAGTAACTAACAAAAACCAAAACTCTCCTCCATAAAAAAAAAAAAACCAAACACCAAACCAAAAACCAACCAACCAAAAAAAAATCCAGAAGCAAACTAACAGCAACAACAAAAAGAAATTTTTGAGAAGTTTCTGTGACTGCTAAAATAATACTGATTTACAGAGAAAAAGCTGCTTTGTGCATTTTGGATGTGCAGTTTAGCTTAGCGTGGTACAGCTCCCCAGTTTCACCTGACATGTGGCAATTACCTAATCCAAAACCCTTGTTCCTGAATAACTAAGCCCCCAAACACCATACAGGTAAAAGCCAGAATAACACTTACACAGAACTGGTTACAAACTTTTTGTTTTCTTGCGGAAGATTTTGCAGCTCCCTCTCAGCTTGCAGAAGAGACCTTTTTGACTCCTGCACTTGCCCACTCCTCTTTAATACTGCATCTCTGAACTGATTGAAGCTCTCTGCAGATGCTTTTATTGGAGCTGGAAGCTTCATCGTTTTACATAGGCTTACCCAGGAATCTACAGTCTTCAATTCTGTCTCCTAAAGTTATTAGAAAAAGGAAACTAGAAGAGGAAAAAATACTCTGCAACTACTTTACCTGCTTAGTTCTTAAATTAACACAGTGTTGTTTGACTGGGCCTGTTGGAAGTATCTACACCAAAATATCCTTCCTTTGGCAGAATATTAGTGCAAATACAGCACTCTGAGCAGATTTTGATGTGCTTTCTAATCAACTTTGAGAGTCTTTGGCAATATGCCAACAACTGTTAGCATTTGTAACTATTCTGACTGTTCAAGTCAACCTCTCCACTTTCTCATTTCAGAAAACATGAATTCACAAGGCTGAGTTCACACAAGGTCCATTGACAAGGTTTTAATACAGAGAACATCCATCTAATTTCTGTATGTAACCCTTACATAGCAATAGTTTTATATTAGGCTTGTGGATTTTATTTGTTCCCCTGTGGCATTTTCTTCACAGCATAAATCAGAATAAAACCAGCATTCTTAAGAAATCCTGCTTCTAGCAGAAGCATTCGCCTATGAAGGAAATGCATATTTTTGGAATTGAATTCATCGTGCTACATAATAGCTTTCTGAAAGCTAAGTGCCTAAAGAAAAATCCTAGAAACATTTTAGTTCAGCAGATGATATAGAAAACTTTCTAAGTCCAGAGGTTGACATGATCTATTATTAGTAATTTTTATTTAATGTTTTCTATATATTAGCTGATTACAATACAATAATTTAACAGATAAGAAAATGTCTCTATCCTTCCAATTACTATAACTTACTGTATGCTAGAAGGATTTTGCTCAACTGTCATAAATACCTCTAGTCATTGAAAGTGCTTTGTTTTATTTCAGAACAGATTTTCCAATAGCACCAAGACTATATTCCACACTACTCTTGTTATTGGATCAGTAAGAGAAAACACACTAATAACTTGGAAATCAGAACTAGATCAAGGAACACTAGTTCCTTGTTTAAATATTAAAACTACATGAAACAAGCCATATTTTAATATGGCAACATGGGCATATTATATATATATGTGTTTATGTATGTGTGTGTGTGTATGTATCGTATATACTTAACCTTCTGTAATGGAGTCCATAGATTTGTATGGTTTTAGCACTAAAAATGAGATAAATCTGTGCAAATTATAACAATGACAAAGACCTATCGTACACTAAATATTCTAATCATGAAAGAACAGGTATTTAGAGAAGATCCTAAAGAAGATCCTAGGTCAGGGAGTTATCCAATCTGGTAAATAAATTCAGCCTTTTCTCAAACAGAACTTAAGCACCACTTACCTTTCTTGGAAGAAGTTCAGGTATTGGCTCTAGTATGTTTTTATCATTAGATTTATCACTGAGTGTACAATGACCTGATGGAAGAATAAAAAAGCCTTTTCAATCGTGTTGGTTTTGTAGACTATTATTTCTCAAATTTAAATGATAAAACTTTAGTCATTCAAGGAATTGACTTAAAAGCTTAGGTTACAGTTTATTATTTGGTTCAGAATCACAGAAATTCTCCCAAATATTTCCTAAGCTTAAGTTGAACAGGACCACTTTTGGGAAGGAAAAAGTATAGTTAGCTCAACTATAGATGAGAAATTAACTCCAGGTTAGTTCTAGGAGCAGTCACAGCAGAATGCTCAAAAGGTTTGGTCAGGAAGCTTCAACACAGCACTCTGGCACTTATTCACTTTCTCCCCTTCCCATCCAGCCCTCTTTCCTTTTGATTCCAAAATTCTGAGTTCCTGATTGATCATGCAAACTCATTTCACCTAAAGCTCTCATCCCTATTTACTTTTTTTAAAAGCAGATAGGTCTGCCATCAAGGGCATCGCATTTCCAGTAGCCTAAAGACACACAAATACTCCATGCTGTTACTTATTATTTTAGGGGAAAAAATAAACCCAAACTGTATTTTCAAACCAGAGATAAACAACACATTTTCTCTCATTCAGCAACAATCCTGTACTGTAGTTTGAGATATTTCAGTATTTAAGTAATGCTTAATAAAAATTTCAGGTAAAATGTCAGCTTTTTTTTTATGCAAAGGATAAGTTTTTGAATGCATGAATCCAGAATTCTGGCTTCAAAGTATCAGACCCTCAGACATTAAACCTCAGTCATTAAAGGGGTTTTCAGAGAGAACTCACAGTCCCAAAACTTCATAAGTGAAAATCCCTAGCTGAGGCCATATACCAGTTCCAGCTGCTGCAAGTCTAAGCAAAAGTGGGGAGTAGATGCATGGCTTGGTGTGATAAGACCCAAAAATTATTAGAAATTCATGGAGAATTAAATCTCCATGTTCAGAATTGCTTTGATACACTGCAACTACTTAGCATGATTCCTTGCCAAAAATAAGAGTTCATCAGTGAACAAGCTCTGCCTTCTAATTTCCTCAAGTTTTCAGAAGCTTCTTCCCTCCCTGCAGAGGTGTTCTAGAGGGCCAAGAGTAAAGGAGAAACCAAAACAATCATGTCAGGTAATACTGTACACACAGAGCATGGATGTTCAGCCCTTCAGTTTAGTCATAGAAATATGTATGATGTATAGAATGCAGCTTTCAGAGAGACAGTTTCTTGTAATAATTGCAAGTTTATTCCATAGTGAAAGTCTCTTTGACATTGATTTGCTGTCAGATCCTTGTCACCAAAAGCCAAAGATAACCCAAAATACATATGAAGTGCCCTGGGAAAAGAACTCCATGAAGTTTCAGCAGAAGACATTTCAAAGGCCAGTGAAGTTCAACAGATTGAAGCATCAGTTCTCAGACTTCATGAAGACTGATTTACATATCCCTAGTAGTGCATTCAAAACCCTAAGTATTAAATCAAAAACTAATTTCCTTTATATATATCTTTATATATTTTAACACAAAACAAGAACCAAACATCCGTTTAATTTTACTTTTGTTTTGTTTGTGGGTTGTTTTTTTGGGTTTTTTTAAGTAGTAAATAAAAAAGAAAGAGTAAGGGAAAACTTCATACCCACCATTATCCTGCAAACTGATTGATATACAAGTGTTCAGCATGATATTTCTTTAAACCAGATTCATATGCAGTTTCATATGCATTTTTAACTTTGCACCCCTGATAATAGTTACAGTTTTTATTATGACATTACATACTTTGTTCTTGATTTATGGAAATTAAATCCGCAGTTCTCACGTTGGTCTTGTTTTGAAGTTTATTTGATTTGTCTAGATGCCTTGTTTGCTCAGCTTGTTTAGTCCAGTCCACACCATCAACTTGGAAAATGGTGTTGGACACCTAGAAGAGAAGCTAGACTTCAAAATATATTCTTCATATTACTTGTGTTAAGCATATGAGGATTCTTATTATACAACATCAGGATTAAAGGTTTAGAAGCTTAGAGCAGCAAATTCATACAGCTCTAGCTTCTGTAAACACCAGGGAAGAAATAGATTTCATTCATATTATGGTAAGCAAAGCAAGTTCATACATCAAGACTTCAGATTTAGAATATGCATGGCCCAGCAATCCCAAGTGATTGAGTGGGTAGAGCATAAGAAACTGATACAAGATCTTTAACCCTTAGCATTGTACAGCAGAATGAAGTTGTCAAAGGCAGTTGCTGCACTCTAGCTTTTGGATCAGGGCCAAGGGTAACTGATCTTCAGTGCAGTGGTATTTTTCTCACTGTGCAAGATTAGTCTGTGTAGTAAACCCTTGAACTAAGGACAGTGCTGTACAAACTTGAGTCATAATTTGCATTACCTGCTACCTTGGACAGTGGACACCAATAGGAAAGGGTAAGCTGCTTTTCATCCTTACTTGCAGGACAAATTCTTGTGCTCACAGATTCAAGAGGCAATTTCTATCCATTGCCAAAAGGCCTGATTAAAGCAACTAAATTTTCAACCACATTCAGAAAGATTATTAATCATCATAGGGTGGAAATGCTCATGCTGTAGTAACATCCATAACTTCCTTTGGTCCACACAGGCCCTTCTAACCAGGATACTCTCCCAAGAGCATATTAGGACAGAACTCAACAGTGATTAAATATTTTACAATCTCATCTAGACCCTGAAAGCCTCAGTTTCCATAGCTTTAGGAAAACAGGAAAAGCAACACACTTTCCCATTATAGCCTCTACATCCTCAGTATTGCTGTGTTTGTGAAATTGATATTTCTACAAAACCAAAACACCAATTATAATCTGCCTCTTTTGTAAAGCTGTTGGACCCTGGTAAAGGATAAGAATCACTTCATTATTGGGGTTTTAGAAAACTTTTGTTGTAAACCTTAAATGGCTTTCCATCATCACATCAAATTCAAGCCTGAAGTATTATATTACATCTTATTTGAAGGGTAAGAACATGCTTTATAGATGCTGTTTGAAATTAATTCACTGGGGAGAGAAGCATGTATTCACCTCTGGAAGAACACTTCTGGAGTGGGTGACAGAAGACTGATTTGTCTTTGGAGTGCTCTGAGGAGTTTGCTGGTCTGGAGCATCATGCAGAACAGGTACAGCTGAGATTTTATCTAAGAAAGAAGTAGGGTATGATTTTTCCTCTACCATGCAAAATGCAGTCCTACATCTCAAAATTAGGTCACTGTTTAGATCTGTGGAGTAACTCAGTATAGAGATACGTATTCTAGCCACATGATTTCAGAGTTATTTTTAATTAGTTTTTAATTGACTTCTCAGTTAATCAGCTACCAGTTCATGCTGTCTTCTACCAAAATCTCAGAAGTGTCTGATGTTACTAGGCTTTTTGAAGTGAGGGAGGGAAAATAGCTGCTTGGATCAAGTCCCTAAGCAGCTTCATGTATCTGATGTGTCTAAACAGCACCAGTCAGTTCAGAGGACCTGTGGCACCAAGCCTTACATTCAGCTAATAGGCATTTCAGACATGAGCTTGGGTAGTGGGCATGGGTTTAAGCCTAATCTTGCCTTAAGGTGTCCAACACTTCCTGTAATTCCAAGTTCACTACAGCATCTTTTTCCATCTCATTGGAAGGACACATGAACACCTGTCTTTAATACTATGCCCCACCACAAGTGTCCCACTAATCTGAAACCCCTAGCCAATCCTCAGTGCTGTCATGCTTTAATTTACACTATGCTCTTTGGTAATCCATACCCTGCAAGAATTTTTCAGTTATCCACTTGTTAACCTCCAAAATGCCAAGGTAAGCTTTGGTGGGCAATACAAGCATCCAGATAACCCTTCTTTCCTCAGCAGTTGAATGTAGCCATAAAGGTATTACCTGAGAGAGTCTGAGCATTTTGTTCTGATGGATTAAGGCACTGAAGCCTTTGCACTACATTGGGAGGTTGCTGCTGCAGTTCAGATGATCCATGATTTTGCAGGCTGCTAGTAGGAGAGGAGGGCTGTGCTTGCAGAACAGCATTGCAGGATGTCTTCTGCAAACAAAGTGGTATTCTCTATAAAGAGACTGCAATAGTTAATACAGCCAATTTTCTTTAATAGCTATTTGATCCTCTTTTTCCACCACTACCTATTATTTCCACTGTTTATTGGATTCAGTACCCCTTGTATTGTGATACTGATCCATCATTTCCTAAGGGTTTTGATGACAAAAAGCCATGAGGTAAAGTGCACTCACTGCCTCGGTCTGACAGGTACAGAAAACCCCTGAGAACAAAACGTAATGTGAAGTGTGATGTTTCCTGCTACTCAGAAGGTCAGTAAGGGGCTGTTACAACTGACCAAGATGAAGCTCATTTCCTGGATCCTGTTTTCTCAAGTTTATTGCTGTCATTCTGTCACTGCAGAGGCTGCAGAGCTGTTAAGCAAAAAGGTGTTGCATAATTCCTTCCCTGAATCTTTGCTTATGAAGATGCAGAAGGAGCAGCTGAATAATAAATTTGCGGCCTAGTTTCCTGTACTTTAAGGGAAAGTCAGTCTATTACAAGAAGAATGAAGGTTTGGCTGTGATTTTGCTTTGAAATTCAAGGTCTCTGTCTCTGGTAGCTTCAAGGGAAATTGTTAAAGGCAGCTAACCTTGACAAGAAATAACACCCACTTGTATAATACAGGAATAGAGCAATTCCATGTAAGAGGCGTTAAGAAATATTTCTAGATAAAACTGCTCTTGGTTCTAATAATATCATAACAATAAGCAACATTAAAGTATCCTGAAAATAAGTGGTATATTGTACAATTTATTTATTTTCAGGTGTAGAACTGAGGTTACTAATAGATGAAAAAACATTTAAGTGGGGCTTGCACTGTTTATCAGGTTCTATACTCAGATCGATTTGGAGAGTATTTCCCTTTTTTGGGGGTGGGTGGGGCATATTGGGGTGGGTCAGAACATTCTGACCTTCTTCATCAAACACAATCACCACAATGATTATAAAAGGTGAAAGTCTCAGAAGATCTCCCAGTATATCTGTTCCTATACAGATGCATAAAGTACTTTTAACAAACAGTTCATGGGTCATCTTCATAGCAATCAGTCCTACAGAACAAATAGCATTCAAGTTATATTCATTATTTTCTGATAAAGTTGCATAATTTCTATTACCATTGTATGTTAAAAATAATTTTGTTAAAGTTATTTGTGTAATAACTTTGTTATTTGTTTAGGGTAAAATTTTTATATCCATTCCAGCCAGGTTTACCTTAGACTTTTCCATAGAAGCTGGACAGTTCTGCCTGGCTCCAGTCTGTTTTGAACAGGTTTCTGTAACTGTAAATACAGTGAGGTGAGCAGAAAAAGGGGGATGGAAAAAAAACCCAAATCAGTCACTTATGTATATTTCATTATTCACACATAAGGTGTGAGTTGCAGTTGTACCTTGAATCAAACCTCACAATGAAAGGAGCATTCTTATCTTGCATACTTTGACTTGAGCTAGATGTGTTTAGAGAACTTCTCCCAGATATAAAAAGAGACCATAAAGATTTCTGCAGGACCAAGGTCTTCATTGCCATTGATACACTGTGTTTGCTCCCCTCACACTGCTGGGGGCTGAGCATTCATCTCACCTTGTACCTCATCATACGGAGATCTGCACTGTAGACCTCCAGCTTGGCAGATCTATTCTGTCCTAGAAAACTAAAGTTCTGTGTACAGAGAAACATCATTCAGTGTTCTGATGCTGTAATAACTTTCAAACAAGCTTGAAATAGTTTAAGCACCAGGGCTGATTTTGGCTCTACAGGTTAATGCTGTAGGCACTTTTGTTCTCAGGTCACCATTCATGCTGCAGACCAGAAGATGAAAGCAAAGTGAATCACACTTTCAAAAAGGGATCAAAGCTACAAGATTAAACTACAGCCCAATAGCCAAGTGTCCAGGTTAGATACAAAGACCTTTTGCTATCTTATTTTGGTGCCTCAAGATTTTCACTGGTAAGTTGAAGTGATGTGGTGGTGTTTGGTTACCTGTAGTGGTTTTGTGTTACCTGGAATCTCAGTATTAAGGCATTCATTTCATTGCATAGCATTAGAATTGAGCCTTCAAAGTGGAGCAAACCAAAGATAACTGTAATTCTTAGTAAGCATGTGGAAGATTAGATGCTAAGAGAGAAGATATTTTGCCCACACAAACACAAAAATAAGCTTTCAAACCTGATTCAGAGTCACTGCTGTCTGAGGAGCTAGAATCACTGCTGGTGCTGCTGCTGGAATCTGAAGAGCTGCTGCTGCTGTCACTCAGTCTGCTTGGCCCAGTACTTGACTCAGCATTGTTTTCAACTGCAGGAGAAAAAGAATTCATAACAACCTGCAGTGGAGCATTCTTTGTATACAAGAATATAAGCAACCTTGTTAGGTCTACTCTCCCATGCAAGAGTTCATTCTATTTCACTTCCTTGCCTACTGTCCGTTTTGCAGTTGACTTGAAAACAAAGGCCACCCTAGAGAGAAGTGGGATTTACCAGCAGCAAGCTAGTTGAAGGAATAAAATATACAAGGAGAAGCAATAATCATACAATTTACAACTCTGAATTAGATGCAAACTGTACAGACTTAAGACACAATTCAAGGAATTTTCCCCATAAGCTTTCCTGCAGTTAAGAGCCTGTTTCTGTGCATGTTGCTGCTGCCAGACTTGCCTGCAGAGTTTTTATCTACAGCCAGCTTTTCTTTCCTTAGCCGTGTGCACTCCCAAACTACCATTTTTTGCCACCTCCCCACCATCTGACTATTTTGTATCTGCAGGGTTGATTTAGATAAGCTCATAATGATTTTGCAGTCAAACCTTTTTCAAAGTTTTTGCTCTGTGGAAGCTTCGAAAATGAGAAGTTACACATACCTGTTTCCCTGGACACAAGTCCAAATTTAGCTCTTATAAACAAGCCAGATACCAGATGTAAAGATTCCTAAGCCAGCTTCTTCCCTCTCCTCACAACATATAGTTCATAATTGATTTCAGCAGCTTCTCTAAGCTCTTCTTTGTAGAATATTTTCAAGCCATTATGTAAACCAGACACAGGAAGACTTGACTGAGCTAATGCTGGATACAACTGTCCCTGTGTCTTCCAGGGCTGCTTCCCTCATTTTAGCTGATTTTACATAGGAGCTAAATAGATATCCAGTGGAGGGCAATAATAGCACTCACAATTTTAATGAGGAACAGCTTGACTTATAATAGCAGCATCAGCTGCATTGATCCATTTTCATCCCCATATGAGAACCATCAGTGAGTGTACAGCTCAAGTATGCACTGAATTTCTGGCTTTGAGCTTGAAATGAATTATTGCCTGAAAAACTGAATTCTTCTCCTAGGACACTTCCTTAAGTCTAAGATAACACAGCACACCTGTCACCAACACACAAGTTTCGTTAGCATGACAGCATTAGTGTCGCTGCCACATAACAAGTATTATTAGAATTGGTTATTCTTGAGTTCCTTAACCACAGAAAATCACTTTCAAACTGTGTGACCCTCTACGCTCCCCGCCATGTTTTCATATGTTAGCATGTGTCCCTTAATTTCTGAAACTGTTACCATCTTTACCTGTAATAAAGTATTAGGTGCAGGAATAAAGAAGCTGTTTTAGAGAAGAGAAGTAAATGACCAAATTTTCTGCTGTAACTCCAGCTCATTCAGCATAGAAAGAATCTTGAAACTAGCAGTGGGAAGCTTAAGACCCCAGCTGTTCTGAGGAGAAAGCCTCCAGATACGTAACAGGACTGAAGCCCAAGGGAAGAATTCCGCTTTAACCTATTTCCATTGCAAATGAGTAAAAGTAAGAGCCACATTACTCTTGAAGCTCTCCTTCTTTGGGTTTAGTTGACCATTGACATCCAGTAGGCTCTTCTCTAGCTCTTGTTTCCTCTCAAAATTAAATTCTTCTTTTGACTTTGTTGTTTTTTTAGCTGCATGTGAAACAGAAGTTAACATAAAAGCAAACCAGAAAGCAAATCTAATGGGCTTTTAAAAACATCACTTCATGCTACATACCCTGCTTCCTTTGTTTCTTCCTCAAACAGGTTGCTACATATTTCTCTAGTTCTCTGAGCGTTGAAGCATTTAAGGTTTCAAAATCTATTTCTATCTCATCAGGGTTAGAGTTCCTCAGTGCAGGTTCTCTTGACTGTATTATATCAACTACTTTCCCAAGCTTATCTCCAGGGAGTTTATTTATGTCCAAACTCAACTGTCGTTTTTCATCATAATTCATAGGTTTGGCACCATCTTCATCTTCTGACTTATGTGCCAACAAGACCTGCTGCATGGTTTTCTTTGATTGACTGCAGGAAAAAAGTATACTGCAGTAACAGCAGTTTAAAATAATTTGACACCCACACAAGTTCCCCACACTTACATGTTTAAAGACAGATTTTTCTTAGATTTCTTTATGTATTTCAGATTTTTCTTCTTTTGAATCAAGCTTTTTATTTCTGCTTTTTCCTTATTCTTTCTTTTCTCACTTTTAGCCTTCCCTTTTTTCTTTTCTGGTCTAGATAAGCATGCTTTGGTCAAAAGCCACAACTGCTGGTGAAGAGCTTTAAGCTATCAAAAAACCAAAAAAATCAAAATGCTGATTATCTTGGGCAATGTAGGAAAAACAATAAACTGGTCCTAAATATCACAGGAAATTTGGGGGAGCTTAGTGGATATTAATAGGATGTCTGCTTTCCAAACATTTTACTATATTGTATCTTAGTCACAGATTATGCACCTAGAAGATGTAGGACTGTTTATTTTATGCAGACATTTCTAAGAGCATGTACCTTTTAGCATTCTGTCAAGAATACATAAACACCCACCCCCACCCCAAAAAAAAATCATCACTAGGGATTTCCAGTGGCCTCTCTAATTTCAGGAATTGGGAATGCACATGAATGCCTTATTAGGTTATATTTCTACAGCATTGCTGAATTAGGCGAGAGGGACCAGGCTCATGCATCTTATTTTGCAATATAAAGTGGCTAGTTGGGACATACTAAGAATATCAGAGAAGAGATTAACAAAACTTTGTTTAAACTTCAGGAATTGGAAGATGGTCAGATGATGAGATTAGAAATCAAACATACTGAAATACTTCACTACTGTAAAGGTTGGCTTGTACACTTACATTTGTCCTTCTCCCTACATTCATAAATTGATGATGCCAATCTGACAAGGACCAAAAACTGTCCCTCATTTGACTAACAGTAAATGCTAATTTCCCCCAAAGTTTATAGATACAGTGGCAAAAAGTTAAAAAGTTATGTTCAAGCAGAAGCAACACCCATCCCACTCCTAATATGAAGCATAGTTTTGCTTCACTGGTTAGTATGAGATACCTTTTCTCTCTCATACTGAGCTTGCTGAAGAATAAATTAATCACTTGCTTTTGTGTGGCTCAAAAGAGTCTGAGGGTAAGAACAATGTTTTTTGAGCATGTATAAAAAATGGCCTTGTAGAAACAACATGCCAGTGAGCTACATGTGGGGTACCTGGAGGCTCTCATACCACAGGAACACAGTATTTTCTACCAAGTTTGAGAGTCCTCTGAAAACGTGGTAGGCAAGAGTAGTAGAACAATTGCTCACTATGTATTTTTTGAGGCACTACTTGTTTAACATTGGGCAGTGCTTCCAGAAGGGAATAAAATTCTGTATTAAAAATACAAGTTACTAGAATCTTTTAAAAACTGATTTTTGTTGCTAAGCCTTGGAATAGACCACTGAAAGTGGCATCACCAGAGATATCTTAAGTCACACACATTAAGTACTAATTCTTACTTGCTCCTGAAGCTTTTTGAGGTGCACTTCTCTTTCCTCTTCAGAGTCTTCAGATGATTTTTCTTCTGAGGAGTTATCATTACTACTTTCACTGGAATAAGCTTCTTTCATTTCACTCACAGGATGTGGCAGATGATCACTTGCAACAGGTTCATCAGGAATTTTAGCAAAGTGCATTTCAAAAACATCCTGAAGAGTTAGGTTTGGAAACAGCATATTTTTCAGATTTCTTAAAGTGTTATGCAGCTACTACTTGTAGAACTGCACAGCAACACAGTTCAGTAACATTAGCAGATTCTACATCAGAGCATGAGATGAACTATTCTTTTTCAATTCTGACTTAAAAGATAACTCACCTGAAGTTTTCTTGCCATAGCAACTATTTCATGGTCTGAAGAATTACGTTTATAGCAGCTCATGAACATTAATCTAACATCTGTAGCAAATTCTTGTATATCATTATATTCGAAGTTATCCATTTTCTTCTAGAGGAAAAGAAAATTAAGGCACACTTAGTAGACAGCATCACCATGAACTGGCAGAAAGCAGGGAGGAACAAGAATTTTAACATGCACATTCAGGTTCAGCTGTATCAAGACAAATATTATAAAAAACATGATGGAAATACCTGCATCTCATTTCAACACTGTCTCTTTAACAAAATAAGAGCCCCCCCCCGCCTTTTAAACAGATTTTATTCTAACTGCTGAAAGGACTTTGTAGTACTAGTTACAGCACTTGGTCAAGACAACAGTGTTTGGGTGGTTTTATTTGGTTCTGAGCTCAGCATCTGTTTTTGATTCCATGCATGCTATTTACACAAAGCTTATTCCATAATAGCTGGAATCAAACTAATGGACTAGAAATTGGGAAATAAACCTTTGTATTGTACAACTCAGCTTTCAAGATAATTCAGTAAGCTATTAAAACTGAACATTCTCCCAAAAAGTGGAGCTTAACTGGGATAAATACTTTACCCCATACAAATTCACTGTTCACAGGGTGTTGTCCACATATCTTCATCTAGAATGGTTGCTTTCCACTAAAAAGGTGAAATGTGTCATGTAAACACCCAGTGTTCTATGGCACTTGACCAAGAATATTGAGATTGAGGGAAAAGAAGTTGACAGAATTGCATTTTCTTTTGTAGGGCATATTTATTATCTGGCATGATTGGAAAGGCTTCATGGAGATCATAATCCCCTCACTACTTATATTAGTTTTTTCAGCAGTTAGGTAGACTAGCCACTATGTGTCACAACAAGACTCAAGACTTTCTTTCAGTGACTTCTGTAAGTTTGAGAAACAGAAATGTATCTCTTAGGCCCATTATGTCTTTCATAGGAGAAGCAGCTTTCATGACACCTTTTTAGCTAATACATTTAAAGCCTTGTAACTACACAAATAGTCTAATTTCCCCAGAAACATACTTACTTTAATGGTTCCTAGGTCTGTAGGACATTTGGAATTGGCTTGGTTCACACCAGTGGAAAATGATGCCACATCTACAGGTTTTATGAAAGGCCATGCATATGCTGCATGTTTCTTTGAAAACATTTCTTTAAGTATTGCATTACAATGTTTTAGTTGTTCTGACAACTGAATCTTTTTAGTAATTCCAGGTGGCTGTTCAGAATCTGAAAAGGGTTTCTTCAGAAGCTTATTTGATACCATACATTCATTTTCACTTCTACATGTTTTAACAGCTTTTCTTTCATTAAACATTGCAGAAGATTCTCCATTTGCTGCAACTATTGAAGTAGTAGGAGTTGTAGTGTCAGCCTTCCTTTTTACACCATTTTTTGCCTAAGAAAAGAAAAAATGTACATGTGTCCAGAACAGTAAGAAAATGGTCAGTTTTAGATTATCCTTTTGTGTGTGTGTATAGTCCAAAAAAAATGTCAGAACTTTTATAGCTATTGAAGTCAGCACAGAATGCAGAAATTTCACAAGCTTAGACTAAAAACCTACAATGTATTACAAGACCAGCACACCAAGCTTCATCTTAGATGTAATGGAAAGAAGTAGATTTTCTGCAGGTCAGGCTGTGGTCAGATATTAGCCACTTGTGAAGATTGCAGGAAGTTGGCAGGTTATGAAATTACCTGCAAGTTGACAGCCACAGGAACAGGGAAAACTGCTGCAATTCATTTTAGGCCTGGTTCAGGGCTTTATGTACAGGGTTTATCTTTGTTTTTCATTAACTTGGGTAGTATTTGGTTTGGAAGCCATATAACGAGTGCTTTGTCATCAGTGTTCAGACTCTACATGAGTGAAACGTAAATATACACAATAGAATAGCCTGGCAAAAGTCCCTATTCCTCATTGGAAGAGAAAAAACAAACTAAGTCAATACAGGAGTATTTTTCAGATGTTCACATACAACTCAGATGGAAGAAACAAGAATTTGCTTTTGTGAGCTACAAACACCTTCCAAGCTAGCTACACAGTGTTTAAGCAAACATGTTAATTTTTGAAGAATCAAGCATTTGATTTACATAAAAAACATGAGAAATTATTAAATATAACTTAGAGCTTTATTTTAGTACTAAAACCATTATCCTCAAGGTGAAGCCTGCAGAAGTGTATATAGTAATACACCTCAAGAATGACTGTCTTAATTTTGTTTCTTTGAGAACAAGAACAATATTTTAAAACCACATTTATAAGAAAATATGTGCCAAGTAATCATCCCAAGAATTAGTATCACCCAGTTATTTAGTAGAGACATAGAAGACTTAATAGAGATCTCTTACTAGTTTCCATTGTAACAAAAGTTTCAAAAACATACAGGTTTTGCCATCAGTGCTGAAGGAGCAATTTCAGTATCTTTCTTTCTCAAAGTCATTTGAGGAAACTTACTTTTGTTACAGAGGCTGCAGCTGGCATTAAAGCAGTCAGCTGAGCTGCAGACAAAGGAGCCAGTGTCACCTGCTGTTGCTCTTGAGTCATCACTAGAGGCTGGTCACTGCTTTCAGCTTGTTGGTGCTCATTTGTGCTTTGTTCATTTGAAGTCCCAGGGTTGGGCTGCCATGTTTCTGGTTATTTTAACACAGGACAATTTAGAAGTTAAGTCTTAAATGTTGCAGTTAATTTATTTCACAGTCAAATTGACCAGTTGTCAACATAACCACTCTTCCATATAGGAATGCCATAAATAAATGCAAATTAGAGGGTTTATTACTTACAGCAACATTGGTATCCTCCTCTACTCACACCATTAGTGCTTCAGTTAGCATATCGTGCCAAGTTACATTATTAGGCTTCAAGAAAGTGTGGATTAACTTCAGACCAAAGATTAAAGAGGCATCATACTACACTCAGTATATTGTAAAAATGTTTTTGCCAACAAAAGTGTTTTCTACAAACACAAAGACCAAGCAGCAAAGAGTACAGACTACATCATGTAGGTTCATGTTTCATAAGCATAGTTAATACCTGCATATACTGCTTAGCAATATTACAGATCTTCACTACTGAGATCTGAGAACAGTTTAGACCAATGTTTTCCTGTGTTTGGTTAGGCTGATTAGATTATTCATGTCTTTTTAGCTGTTACTCTGTTTAATTCCCACAGATGTTCACACCTATTAGTTTACATAACACAATGCTGAGCAGCATGACAGTCTCTGAATTGGAAGGCACTTTCTAAAAAGAAAACCACCCAAACCTTTAAATTAAAAAAAACAAAACAACAAACCACCTTCTAAAGCCTTTTAGCAGTATTGTTGTCTGATTGTTCTGGAAAGAGTGGAGAATGCCCAAACTGTTCCAGGGTTGAGTTGTGACAAAGAGGATTTCCTGTTTTCAGTTTTGCTTACTTAATATTTTACAAATTCAGCAGATAATACAGGTCTTACCTTCTGTCTTCTTTCCTTTTCTCTTTCCTTTATTGGAACTCAGTAGTTTTTCTTCTGGTGGCATTTGGGCTATTTTCTGCATAAACACTTTTTCTAGCTCTTTGGCCATAAACACAATGTCATCACCTGGCTGAAAAATATGGTCAGTACCATTCAGTAAAGGAGAGGCTGCAGTAATGGGAGTGATTTCATAAAACAACCAGGCTAGAGAGTCCTGCCATAACAGATTGAAAAAAACCACCAGTACCAGAGAGGTCTAGAAATCATTGCCATCCCTGCTCCTGCAACTCACTTTAAAGCAAATTACTTCACCATTTAAATACTCTGACTGTGCTATTGAACAATCCTCCTTTACTTGTGCATACTCCTACAGCAACAGCCAAAGGTGCAAATCTGCAACTCTCTCATTTGCCTCTGTGTTCTGAAGAAGCTGTTGAAGCTCAAAGATACTAAGATATAGCCAATACACATCCAAGCACAGGGAGATACTCACACTTCATTAGATTGAAGTGGTTGAAGGAACAGAGCGTGGCTCAGGGTTGCTAGCCTTGGACTTGTACAGCAGTGACATAGGACTTGCTGTTCATGAGCTCTGCAGCAAAACCTCAGAGATTTTGGATATGAAGTCCTTGTGCCGAAAAAACCATGCACTCAGTTGTTGGAACAGCAAGCAAGACTTCACTTATGTGTCCTCAGTCAACCCTAGCAAAAGATCCTCCCCAACATTTCAGAGAAAATACTTTCAAAAAAAATAATGAAGAAGTTAACTAACTTAATGCGTGTCCTAATAACCACGTGCTTGTTTTAGACTTGTTTGCACCATTCAGTAAAACCAGTTACTGTAAGAGTTGTTGTTTTACATACCTTGTTGTACATGTAGCAGTTCCAGAACATAGTTTTAAAGTCTTCAATACATTCTGCAGCTCTTGTGTAGTAATTGTGTTCCAGACGCTTTTTGATGGTGCCTAAATCCATAGGGTTTTTTATGATAGTGTAATAATCCTGTGGTATTGAAAGAATAAGTCACCAAACATACCGTAATATTAGGACATGAAGATTTTTACACATTTAGTTATGAAAGCTAAATTGCAAGAGAGAACTGCATTCTATTAGGAGCAGTATTTTATTTGAACGAAAACCTTCCTCTATAGTCATAAGGGAAGTCACACCAAAAATGTAGGTGTTCAGGAAATTTTCACCTTCTATTTTGTCCTGTTCTTCCATGTAACATATCATTCAAAGTCCCAAAGAATATTCATTTCAATAGGCTCCAGAGCTCTACTGGTAGTAGTACTTTTTATCAGTATATGCACTTCTCATTTTTTATCTCAAAGATATTTACACAAAGCAGCACTCCAGTTTACAGAACAGAGGAAAAAGAAGCCAAAATTCAACAAAGTCTCCGTCACTAACAAAAAGAAGCTGCCAAATTTTTATAATTGCCGTCCAAATACTTTATCCCTGGCTATATTGGCTCTCCTCTTAGGGCTGGCCTAGTGAAGAAGTGGCAATATGACTGAAAGGCAGCTGGAATGGGAACTGTCATGATTATTTTAGCAGCATAGCTAAAACTTCGTGAGTGAGAGACCATGAGACCGATGGTGCATTTAAGAAGCTGGAATGGAAATATCCCTACAAAGTTCACATATATATTGTAACATACACATGGTAATTGTACAAACTACTACCTCTAGAGCATTCTAAAGCTATGCTAATAATCTGTTTTGGTGAAATAGAAAAGCTAATTACATCAGAGTGCAGGCTATTTACCACAACAAAAATGCAATTAATAATCAAAACTCAAAATAAAAAGTTTATAATAATAATTAAAAATTCAGTTTATAATCAAGTATTGCCCATTCTGCACCTTCTAAAATTTGAAAGAGAAATGCAAAGGGGGAGAATACTCTTACTGTCCTTGCCATGGAGCCAGATCATTGCTTGTTACTGTGCAATGGCTGAACTAATACATACTCTGAGAAGTCCAGAGGCTGCCTTAGAAATCCAGAGAGGCAAAACTGGCCTGAAGCCAACTGCAAATATTGCCACAACTCTGATGGAATGCCCCTTAATATTAACCTTAACTGACAGCTACTTCCAAGAAGGAGAAAGGGTAAGAAAAGACACAGAGAGCTAGTCACTTGGACTGTACTTTTGTACAAACTGGCCAAATGAGTTTATCACAACAAACAGCCACAGATAAAGGTTTTTGTCTGCTCTAAACAGAACCAGGGAGTTAGTAGAATTTGTCTTGAAGATTTGTGAGAAATAAATATCAATGCTTAAGCTCTTGGAGGGGGAAAAAAAATAAATCCAAGGGAACATATATTGGTTTTATTTAAAACCTTTCTACTTATCTACCAAGAGAAATATCTTCCAGGTATTCTGAAATGCCATTCAATCACCTATGTTTTCATTTGACTGAAAACATCCAAAATTTGGGTTTAAAAATACCTGGAAGAAAACTATGTGTCACAAGACATCATAGTATTGTACTTTGTTATAATTAAGTTGTAGCATAAACAGCATGCACACAGCAGAACAGAAAAATTTAAGCATCATATTTTCTATTTCATGGAAGGATGTTCTTCCACTATGGTATGATGAGAACCATAGCTTTTTTATTTCCCTATTTTTGCAGGGACATTTATTTCCTCTAGAAACTTCAGAGCAAAATGATTTGAAATTGACAAATACTATAGGTGTAATGACTTCTCTGCAACAAAATGGTTCCAGATTTGTCTGATTACTTCAGGGTCAATCAGATCTGATTTTCCATCAAAGTATTTGGCATTAAGGCAGCCGAATATTAAAAAAAATACTCAAAGGCAAAAGAAAATAATCATCATATGCAGTATTAATAAATATGTCTAAACCAGAAGACAAATCTGAACACCAATATACAGAGGCTCTAGCAGGCCTGTTTAAGCATTATTATTATCCCTTAGAAATACTGATTTACTAGTTTCAGATCCGAAAAATGAGCAAAAATGTAGCATTTTTCTAGAACAAAACCACATTTCTTGTAGACTTGGATTAATGACAGCAGTTCAACAGCAAAAATAGACTTCCATAAACTGTTGCATTTGAAGAAAACCCGTTTAAAATTGATTCACATAATTTACATATTAATACTCCAGTTAAAAAATGGTTCTTACAGGCAGATTCAGTGTTACTGCATCTACAGGTTGGTGAAATGGCCAGGAAAAGTTGTGCCTCCACATGGCTCTCATGACCACCCTCTGTAAGTACTGAAGTTGGTTTGTTTGACATCCACAACCATTGTTATTTATGTATTCTGGTGGAGGAGGGTTAATAATAATGGACTGGTGCTGGCTTTGAACAGACATCTTCAGTGAGGTTATACATCCACTTGTTCAAAGATCATTACGCATTTAACCTGAAGGAAACGAAACACAAGTATTCAGCAAAGATATCTAGATTTAATGCTGTTTACACGTTCACTTCTGTTTGTAGAATATCAGTACCATAACTAAAGGCATACCTTTGTGTACTAAGCAAGACATTGGTTTTAAAGTGCCTATTTGGACATACTGTACCCCTAGAGTCTAGGGATGCATACTATAGCTTTCTCCTAAAAAATACATGATAGCCTGCTTTTTATACCAGAATGACGTATTTCATGAGGTGTGAAAAAGGTCATAATAAGGTAGATAGCTACTGTAATTAGCACACTGCTACAACAGTACATAGGGCCCACTCTTACAACAACAGTAGCCTCTCAGCAAATATTGCTGATCTCACATATTTTATTTTCATTTATTTATTTCAGCATTCAAAACATACCTCTTCTGAGCTCCTGAAGCCTACACCTTAGCTAGTAAGAGTGAATACTATTTGCACCACCACATGTTATTAGCTAAACGCTAATCCTTTCACCAAAATAACTATCTTAGAAGGGAAAGATCCAGACACATACAGGATCTGCCTCTCCTATAACTGGCCAGCACTAGAAGAAAAGTTCTGAGGTAGTTTTAAGTCCCTCACAACCCAGCCAAGCCCATTACACACTATTTTCAACTATGAGGATACACTATCATTTTTTCCTGCTTTTTTCTGCCAAAAAACCCACACTAGATGATATCAAGAGCAAGCTGTTCACCTTCCCCATCCGAAACTCGGAGGCTAAAATGGAAGACAGGAGAAAAAAGAGTACAGTTTGAACTTAGCAAAAAAACTTGCAGCAGCAAGCATGTAAATAGCAACATTTAATTTAACTTAAATAAGAACATAATGTAATGTCTAATCTCTTAAACATTTTATAAACTAGTACATAGAGTTGAGAATAAAAGCTCAAACTCGGCATCAAGAGTGCCAAGAAAACCAAGACACTGAAGTTTTGTGTACATACCAGTGTCTTAGCCCTAGAAGTTCAGCTTTGAAAACCTTAATCTATGCTGTGAAAGCTGACCTCCATGCTAACCAGAGAGCTAAGACTGTATCTTCTAAAGACAGACACAAATCTGTGTTTTGCTCAAGCCCTCCTTTACTACCTTCCCCTCCACCTTCCTGCTTGTGATTCACAGAAGACTCTTCTCTATCTTAAAATAAAACTTATGTTTGCATACTGAAGCAAAAGTGTGATCAGATTCCAGCCAGTTAAGTTTTTTGGTATTTCTCAAACCACCCCTTCCCAGCCCCATGTGTCCTTGAGCTGCTGAGTAAGGTCTCAAAGGCCAAGTAGTCTTAAAAAGAGAAGCCTTGGGTGCTTCCTTAAGACCCAGTTTGAAGTTTTTAGCTAAGCTGATAGAAATGTATTTTTAGTTTAAGAGTAAAAAGCAAATTGCTTACATAAATTACGTTGTTAGAGAAGTTAAGGCTTTTGGCAAAATATCACATCTTGTGTGAATCAAATTTATTTCCTTTCCTTGGTAAGAAGAGATTATTTGCTATCAGAGAGTGCTCTCTAAAAGCATGCAGAAAAGATATCTTTCTTGTTTTGGCTCATTATTACAGCTACCAGCATAAAACCTGTACACATCACATACTGGTTAAGAATAGCAGCATGGAGAAATATTAGCATACCATATACAGAACAAAGGCAGACAGTGTACCAGATTCTACACACTAAGAACATTTGATTATTCAAAGGCTTTTTCACCAGTTTTGTTTAGGTGATTTCCAATAATCACATTGAAGACTCATAAATAATATTAGAGCCTCCCTTAGGTAATTACATTAAGGCTACGCAGAAGAGAGCACAACCTTCTTACTGCAAGTAGCACCACCTCTTCTTTCAAAAGGACAACCATCTCCATAGACACCCATAAAACAGTATTTCTGTATCCTTCAAACTCCTCTTGGGATACATCAGACAAACCTTAGTTTTAAACACAATCCATATAAATATTAGGTGTTGAGAAAACACTGACTTACAGCTATTACTGTAACCAATACCAACCACTCCTGGGCCATTCAAAACTGAACTTCCACCCTCAAAGCAGATCAGTCACCTTTTTTACCTTAGTTTTAGGGAAAGCCACAACCCACTTCCTCCCTAAGAGATGAAGGAAGAAGAGAGCTTTAGAAGACAGACAGAGTAGTCTTTATACCTACTCACATCCTCATCTTATTCTCCAGCAATAACTGTCAAACACCTGCAACCTATCCATGGTTTTCATTGGGAAGTTGTCAACATAAAATAGGAACAGCTGCTAAGAGCTAAAGCACACCAGCCAGTTATTGGTGCCAGACCTGCTCTCTCTGTAGCCAACAAGATAGGGTAGAGGGATGCAAGAAGGGGAGTGGATATACTTAGATTAATTTTGGTTTGATTTCCTACCTGAACTTCTAAGTCTTAAAATTAACATGATGGGAATCCTTATGTTTTATCAATTATCCTTGGTCACACTAGGTTATGGTATAAGAAGAGTACATAACTAGTATATCTGGTTAGGAGTGGTACGGTATTCATATTTTTCTTCACCCCATAGATTCATTAGTTAAATTAAAACACAAATCTATTTACTAAATGCACAATAGTATAAAAATGAGAACCAGGTTGTTTCATAATAAATTTTATTTGCTGTCATTAAAACCACAAATACTTGGAATTTAGCCAGCTTATTTTGAATTTTGGCTATTGACTAAGCAGTTGTTTCTCTCAGAACCTCTAAAAAGCTTTATCCCCAGCATACTTTATTATAAGACAGGTCTGCAAAATCAGATTTATATTTAATTTGTTTCCATTCACATTTATGTTCCAGCTTGGGATCAAAACCTGCTTGGATTCTCATAATGAAAGTAATTATGATGCTTTTTTTTATTTCCCTTATTTTTTCACCAAGATGTCCTTGAAATTTTGAGACTGTGGTACCACCCTCACAAACACATGAAACACAAACAAAATTGAAACCTTGTGATTGAAGAGTAACAAATGCTTAAAGAACCACTGGAAACAGAGTAACAGAAACTGAAGCTCCCCACAAATTAAATGTGATTATAGGAGTCAGCTTTGCATCGCTGTAAGACACAGAAATTCAGGTTAATGAGTACTGTTTTAATACGACAAATTGAGCCAAATATGGCTCTTGAAAAGTTCCCTAAGTTTGGAATAACCCTACTAACTTCAACAGATTTGCCTTAGGTTTTCATCAGGGTAAATGATAGAAAAGTGTCGTTTCCTTAAGCTGTTTGCCTTACTGTATCATTTTTCTACATATTTATAACCTTCAATCATCTGTGACTCTATGGCAGAGTACCCATGAAAGTTGTACAGGCATGTACAGGAAATGATAGTGAAAAAAATGCATCCATCCCAGAAAGTTACACTGATCCTGCTTGCTTTCTCACCCATTAGATTTTTCTCACACCCGGAGAAATCTCACACTTTGTTCACTCAGCCTTCAGCTAGTGTCCAGACAAGGGGATATTGCAGAATGATGCCTGACTGGGGACATATTACATCATCACCTGATGCAGCTGGCAAATATCTATTTCTCTCTCTGAAAATGAATTTCTAAACTCTTACATTACAATTGAGTCAATTTTTTCTGACACTCAGCTGGCGAGATGCTCCTGGCACCCCTGCTGGGGCTCTCCTGGCCTTCACCAGCCTGTGAATAAGCAGCCTCTTCTTCTTTGCTCTTCCTTCTGACACTTCAGCTTCTCACTCAATAAAAAACCATGTCTCTCTGCTCCTGCTTGGCCTCATTGTTCATTGCACTGCTAAGAGGTATCTTCTTGCTCCTTGGATCTTCTAAGTATTTTCTTTTCCCATAGTTTCTTATTAATTAACTCCTCAAAATAATTTCACTGTGGTCCGGCCTTCGTTTTTGATGGCCGGCTTGTTTCTGTGCTTTCAGAGATCATAACTGGATGTGGGGCTGCTCTGCTTTGAAAGGGAGGTATTCTGTGAAAACTTCCATTCCTCTGTAAACTAAGCAGGAAAAGAAGCCCTCAGCTACCAGGCTTCTCTGTATAGAACTTTATTACATTATTCTGAAAAGTTCAATAATATATCAGTTCTTTGTCCCATCCCATGACCTTTCGCCATCTTACAGAGAGAATGGTAAAAAAATTTCAAACTCCTCTGATGTGGAAAAGGGAACTCTTTTTATTGTGTGTCAAATTAGCAGGATGAAATTCTCAGCATGCTTTTCACAACCAAGGATTTAAATAGCTTGCCAAGGGAAAATCACTGGCTTGTTCAGTATATTTTTGTACTCCCCAGGATGTTGATACTCAATATCAGCACTAAATTTGTGGTTATTAGAACTAACTAGGGTGCAAAGAATGAGAAAAACCCCAGTTTACTAAGTCTGATTTTCACCTTTTTCTTTTCCTTCATTTGATGTCCTTTATATATATTTCAGGAAATAAGCTGTTCTTTTCTACAAAGTCTTCTAATGTTTTCTTAAAGCAACGGTAGATGATAAAATCCTATGTGTTCAGCCATAAATCAGGGATCTAATTTCTGTTTTGCAGTTATGGTGTGGCCATAACTGTGCTGCTGTCATATGATTGAATCCAAAGAATGTGAGTGGCCCTTCCATGTCTATCAAAGTTTTGGGCTCCTCCCATGCTGTCAAGCTCTTCTTGTGCTGTAGGAGAAACTGAGGGTGGAAAAGATGCATCCACAGCCTTGTATGCTCACTGAATTGAATTTGTTGAAGTAATATTCTCAGAACTGATTCCCTGAGAAAACAATATTTTTCTGAGCATTATTTGGGTTTGTAAATCATCTTCAGTGGTGGCTTTGTGCAAGCTGAGGTGGCTCAATATTACAGCCAGCTGGGGTAATGTACATGTTATTAATTACTGTGCCTTAGCTGAAACCTAACAACTTTTTGAACAGCTTTAACACAGTTGCAAGCTATTATGTGTTCATACCCTTCATGGTCGAAGCTAACCCAAAGCACATCTGACTAAAATTAATTTCAGCAGTCATTTCCATGAATAAAATTGGCTCAAAGTTATGCTTGAAATGCAAAATTTGAGGTGATGATTGTGTAGTTACATCCCCAAGCTGTGTACCTGATATTTCTGTGAGAGATTGCACCCTTGCAGCAGAATTGTGTAAATTCATACTTTCATGAGCTCTTATCCTTTCAAATCCCACATCATTCACCACGTACCAATTTGAGATCTTTAAGAAAATACCTCTTCATATTTCCTGTTGCACTGTTGCAGTTTTCTGCCAGTAGATGTCAGCTCAGAACTGGTGAAAGTTTATTCTGCTTGTTTCAAGATAATTAGTATCAGTGGTTCTGTGACTTTGGGCTTAACTGTTAATATCAGATTGCATGTTCAGAATATCAGAAAGCATGATGTCACTATTCAGATATTGAATGTATGACCAGTGTGACATTTGCACACCTGGTGGCATTTGTAAAGAGTGAATTCAGACCGAATTCACTGTGATGGAAAAAAATAAAGCCAGGTAGTCAGTTATTAACTTTAAGGAAAAATTTTTCAAGACCAGACTCTGATTCCAAGTTAACTCTGACTCTAGATTATGCTCAGAAGCCAGGGAAGGGAACCATCGTGCTGCAGAGTGTGGTAGTAATTTGTGGCAACCTCTATGCAAAGAAACAAAATTACTGGAGCATTATGAGGAGTCTCTGCCCTAGTAAACTCGTTAACCCTGTGAGACAATGTGAGGGAGGGATATGCTTGCTGCTGGGATTTTTCTTCCCCTTTCCTTTGAACTGTAGGACAAGTTTGTATATGGTTGTAGTTTGTATATGTTGCTAGAACAGCATTTGAAAGGCAAACCTTTGACCACTGCTCTTTACAGTAACATGGCACTGTACATACAAGCACCTGCTGGAACAGGAGGAGCTGTACTTCTCTACACACTGTGCAGACAGGTGCTGTAGCACTGGCTTTGCTTGCTTGATGACATCTGCTCTGCAGGCAGACAGAAAGACTGATTAGATGTTCTTGGGACATGGTTATTCTTCAGGGCATTCTGTGTTTTGTGAGCAAGCATGGGACAGTCAGTCTTACCTTCAGAAATTTCTGCTTCAGGGATAGAAGCATGCTATTAGTGTATTCCCCTACTTTCCATACTCCTGGAGCGATTTCTCCTGAGGTCTGTGGAGGTCTACCCCAGAGATGTGAGTGCCTCAGCAACGGAGCCGAGTTGGTCTGTGGTATGGGAAAGCTTGCTGTGCCTTGTGAGGTAGTGACTTTAGCCCACTGTTATATCCTGATGGAAGTGTTTCTGAGTTTTGCCTGCTCAAATCCATGCTTTAGAAGTGGGTTGGCTGCTCACACTTGGAGGTGAGTTGTTTATGCTGTGGAGTAGGTATTTAGTGAAATCATTGGCATTTTCTCCTTGAAATGCAGAAGGCATACAACATGGAGGACAGACAAGGACACAGACAGGTGTGTGAATGCTGCAGCTACTGTGCACTACTGTGAAGGGACCCGGGCTTTGGGATCATTGAATCATGCAATGGTTGGGTTGGAAGGGATCTTAAAGATCATAAGGCTCCAATCCCTGTGTCATGGACAGGAACAACTCCTAATAGAGCAGGTTGCTCAAAGCCCCATTCTATCTGGACCTAATCACTGCTAAGATTGGGCCATCCACAGTTTCTCTGGTCAACCTGTTCCAGTGCCTCACCACCCTCACAGTAAAGAATTTCCTCCTAACATCTAAACTGAATCTCCCCTCTATTAATTTAAATACCATCCCCCCACGTCCTGTCATGTTATTTGGGATGGGCTGAAGCCATGATGTTGTTTACATTTGGGAGAACGATTAGTTTTTTTTCTGCAAGGCCATCCCTGACACAGTGCAGCTGTGTAGCCTTGGATAGAACTGGAAAGAGAGCAACGTGAGAAAGGGCTGTGAGGAACATCATCAGGGTCTCCCTCTTTTGGCTCAGGTCTGTGCCCTTGCCTGAGCTGTGTGGTACTTGTACCCATTCCTGGCCATATCCTTGCTAGTCCTGATCACTAGCTGGCTTCCTGGCTTTACCTGGGAAGTTGGTCACCACCAGCTTCTCTGACAATCACTGGACTATCAGCTGACCCTGGTTACTGTTGGCTGCCCTGCTCTACTCACCTTGCCTGGGGACTTTGGGATGGGGACCTTGCTGGTGAGGCCACTGTCACCACTGTCTTTGTGCTTATTCAGCCTGGTGGAGCAGCCAGCTCCTGCTGCTCCCTGACACTAACCTGCTGCTACCAGGCAGCTATCACAGGCTGATCTATCTTCAGTAGATTACGAATCAGAATTTAAGAATACATGTATGAATTAAAATTAAAACTTGTCTTGGCAGTTCAGTTCTCTGTTTTAGGGCCATGGAGTCTGTTAAGTGATTAATGATGTGTCTACTCAAAATTCATGAAGATAAGAATTGATAAATTATTTTCAGAGATTAGGCTTTTGAACTCGTAAATATCTTATAGATGGCATATCTGCTGCCACTTGATCCTCTAAAAAGAGGAAATGGGTACATAAATTCCAAGAAAACATTATTCTAAATTTTTACAGACTGCATCCTAAGTCAATGCACAGTTGTGGATGTCAATACAATAAATTGAGAAAAGTTGAGTTGTACAGTTCCATTGTCTTTAGTAGATTAACTGCCTGTTTGTATAAAAACTCATTTCTAGTGACCTTGCTCCTTACCATGTGTCATTATTTTATTTTATTTTTTTGGAGGCAAGGAGGTTCCTCACTATTGCCTTTGCTCAACAAATGGAACACCAAATGGCCAGGGATAGTAGAACTGGCTGTAAATGTTTGACAGAGGCAAGAGGTGATTTTGTTGAACTGCATGAAGGTTGATGCAGGTGACAAAAATCCATCTGGGTACCAGTGTTCTTAGGGCCCTCAATTAGACTGAGTTAAAAAACCTTGCACTGTAGACCCAGAAGTATTTCTATATGGTGTGCTTTCAGGAGCCTGCTTGTTTAGAGGGCTGATATGGGCAACCAGAAAGTCCCATTGTTCCTGGGGCTGGCTCAAGATGGGTGGGGAATTAAGATATAGCCTGCATATCTTCTTCCAAGGGGCATAGGAAGTAAATTTCTGAGGGGAGCCATAAGGCTTGAACACTTTCAATAAAATTTTAATTAGATTTAACTATACAACCACCAGTTAATTTGTCACAGGCTTTATGGGTTTATGGATTTAGGGAGATTTTTAGGTGTTAAGCGACCATATGTTTTACAGGTTTAATATGGCCTTAAGTTTTAGATGATTGTGACATTTTGCAAATTTTTTAAAGCTTAGTAATCCATTCCTTGGTTCTTCCTGGGTGTAGAACCTATATAGCAATGTATTTTAATAACAAACCAAATCATTAAGTATTCAATTAAAGCAAACCATTTTAAGCCTACTAGGTACTTGTTCACATACAGAGAAAAAAACACAAGTGAAATTTGATTTGAAAAGATATGTACCTTTATGTGTTCAAAAAACTTAAAATAGCTACAGCGAAATTATGTGAGCCCCTAATAATTAGAGTAATGAAGGTCAGTTACATTGGTAATAGATATCTGAAGAACTCTGCATTCCCAGACTTAAGCAGTTATAACTGCTTGTGTGAAGTGGCTGGAAGCTGAGCATATGGATGCTGGTGCTTCAGAGCAGTGGCACTGGTGTTGAAGCTGGTAGAAAAGCCACTATGAAACTGTGTGTGCAAGCCCTTGTCCCCAGACTGGTGACTGATTTCATAAGCACGAAGTCCTGTTCCTAAGCCTCTATCCTGCAAGGAACTCGCCCTCTTATTTCTGCCTGTGCATTCTGTATCCACTTCCGTGGAAAACTCATCCAAGGCCTGCTTGACTTTTCTCCATTGCTAAACACTACCTGCTCTGTGCATGTCAGCAGCGGCTCTTGCTATTAGCGTCCACAGGCACATAATGTTAAGGACAGTTTAACAATATAAGAACTTGGCCATCCTCTATTACCAGTGCTGATTCTAACTTTGTTTCAGGCCAGAGAACTCCTGGAGAGTACAACAGTTGCTCAACTATTATAATGGAAAAAAGAACTAATATTTGAGGCCAGTGGGAATATTCCAGCTCTCTGTGCCAAGGAGCCTGTGAAGGGAGCAGTGGATCAGCAAATGGAGACGCTTAGTAAGTGACCAGCCCAGTCCTGGGGAGTTTGTGCAGTCCAGAAATCTGATAGCCTGTCACTGCTCTTGTTCTAATAGGTAATGCTGACTAGCATTATTTATTAGGGAGGAGGAAGGATAACACAATGCTGCACTGGGATGCACATGCTTGCTATTAGAATGCCTTCTCCTCCTTCATCCTCTTAGCTATGCTCTGCAAGTAAATGAGGAAAGATAAACAGTGTGGATTTGCAGCTCTGTTCTTGCAGTATTAACAGTCCTTGTGGGAAATGTTTATCACTGTATCAATGTGGTGATATGTGACTTTTCCAGGGGTCGAGGTGTTGTGATGATTAAGGCTACAGTCTGTAGAATGGGAATGGGGACCTCACATGGGCAGAGTTGAGAGAGAGGTCCTTGCTATATCCCATCTCCTGCAGCTAGGACAGGACTGTCCCAGCTTCTGCATGTGGCCGCTGCCTGAAGCTGAACAATTCCTATAGGGGCTTTGAACTTCGAAGGTGGCAAAGGAGAACAGAGTGCTCAGGTTAAGAATGCATCCTGAGACCCAGCTTCAAGGGCTGAAATGTCTTTGGGTGGAATGGGCAGGGAAGTGTATGGAGAGAGATGTTTCTCGGCGTGAGAGGTGCCTAGATTCAGAACTCTGGTACTCAGTGAGAACAAGCAATGAGACAGAAGAAAAGGGGGTTTTGGCAGAACCTTTCTTTTAACTGATGCATAATGGAGAGTTTTTTCAATAATGTAATAATATTTAAATAGTTATGTGGAGGATTTACCCTTCCAGCATGAAACTCTACTATGCATATTTTGCTTTCTTCATGGGAGGGTCAAAGTATGTTAAAATAATCTTTAAAAAAAATGTTGAGGCTTTTGTGGGGAGAAAAAGCTGAGGGCAAGTTGTAGATGGGAAAATTGTTTTTTTGAGATAAATGGCTGGCTGGAGTCTGTTTTAGCTTAAACTAGGGCAATACAACTTGTGTAAGACTGACAGAAGAGCCTGTTTATCTAACTTTTGTTTATTATTATCTAGCTTTCTGAATTTCTAAACCTCTCTTTCAACATATTTAGAATTCCCATTTCATTTTCACAGGATGCTGTATTTTGCATGATGCCTTTGACTATATTGCATGTGCAGGGGTTACAGAAAAGGCATTACATGTACATTAGTGCTGTACCTTTATATTTATCTATATGCCAAGATTAATCCAAGATGCGGTAATGTTTTGCCCAGAGCAATTGTACCAAGGAACCTTAACCCTGATCTTAAGAGACTTACTCTCTGTTCCTGTGACAGTTTGTTTATTCTTCACTTCAGGGCCTCTTCTGAGCTAAAACAGCCATTAAGAGCAAATTTTTCTGGACAGCTTTTCAGCCTCCAAGTAACAAAAACTGTGCAACTTATTTTTATTTCTTCCTATACCTTTTCCAGGTGATTCTTAAAAAAATAAATCCACTGTGGTATCCATCCAGAACTGGAATGTTCTAAATGCAGAGATATTACTCAACTCATTACCAGTGTGACCTTTCAGCATTCCCTATTTAGCAGGGGACAAATCCCACAGTACTTTGTGTACATATTATTGTGAATACAACATGTGCAATGTCCATACTGGAGAAAAAAGGCATCCATGTTGTATGTTTTCAACTGTTTCTGTAAGTTCTTGTGCTGAGTGAGTGCCAGATGGAATTGCAGTTGTATCGTAAAAGAATGTTATATGTTAAGAGTTTAGTCCTAAAATAGATCTAAACTCCTGTAATTCTGTGGAAGGTGTAATTCGTTTGAGTATTTGATTAATTCAATTAATCAATTCAATCATTAAAATTAATAATCTCAAAAAATGAATGAAATTATATTGTTAATATTGTTATATTAAGCAGAAAATAGTTACTTCTTACTTTATTTTAAACAATTATATTATATGTGAAAGGGTAGAAGAAAAGAAATGAAAAGGATTGTTTGCCTGTAGTACAGTGGAGATATCAAGGGAAAACTGGAGCTTTTGTTAAAGTTAATAAGAGCTGGATCAAACCTAGGATTTCTCACAGCTCTCATGAGGCACCACGGCTCTTGACTTCACTAGTCAAGAATTAAAATGAATAATTATGAACTATATCTTTTTCTTCACTAAAGAAGAAATAACTCCCAAGTAGATTTAACATGGTAAAACTTGCTTTATGAAGCCTTTTTTAATTAACCAGATACCTTACATTATTTCAGGTCCTGCTGTTCTGCTTCTTCTTATAGGAGGACTACTGAAATGAAAACAAAGGTCAGTTTAGTAATATAGAACTTATTTTAGAATTATACCTAAAATGAAAAGTTAATCAGAAATAAAAGTATCATTTTCTATCTAGTTAAAATCTTAGGCTGGCTTTGCAAATAGGTTTATAGTAGAATAATAAATTAATTACTGCCCTTTGAAAACATATTATGTTGAATTGCAGTTGCAACATAATTGTTGGAAAATTGTTGGAAAGGAGGTAGAATTTTTTTGTTTGTTTGCATTTCCACAGATATTTTTCTATGGCTGCCAGAGAACAGAGACAGCAGTTACTTCTGTAGTATGGCAGATACTCTTTGTTTCTGTTTGCATAATTTTAACATAACTGAGACATTTCACTGTTTAGAATCAAAAAAATAAAAATATGTACAGATCCATATGTATAATGGTTATGTGATTATAGATTTTTTTAAATATAAATATTTTTATTGCTAACAGTGATTGATGTTTTTATCTTGTCCTTTCTTTCACTTTATTAGAAGTTATGATATAGGAAAATATGAAACAAGTGAAAAATCTGATTTACTGTTTCATATTGTGGCTCATTAATTTTAAAGCCACATAATTGTACAGTAATTCTTTTGAATAAATTTGTTTATAGATAGTTGAATAGCTAGATTGAGGAGCTGAAGTGGATTCTTACAGGATACTTTAAATATTCTATGAAAACTTTGTACTACATGCATTAATGGTAAATTTTGGGAAGTGTGAAGTGTTGATGGATGTGATGAACAGAGGTGGGATTGAGCTTCATTACAGCCGTAGCAGTTTGTAAATATGAGGCTTGTGACAGTTTATTCTTGCAGAATAAGCCCCTGCTTGTTGGCGATGTTACCAAACAAATGAAACACTGAGAGGAATCTCAGACTAGTTTCTGTGTGCAAATTCTGCTTGTGTTCAGGTATCATTGTCCTGTAGTGAGGATCTGAGGATGAAAGTACAATTTACCACCTGAAGCAATCTTGTCTTGCCTGTATGATTTTACTCAGAACATGTAAATTTCTCAGGTGGTGCTCAGTTAGCTGTAGCTTTCTGCAAAATTATGTAGGAACATAAATAATTCTAATAGTTCATGAAATATGAATAAAGGCCTATTCAATACTTTCTCTTTTTTTTGAGGCTCTTGGGAAACCTAAATTGAATTGTGTTGCTGAAGTTCTTTTGAATACATATCCTGTAAAATTTTTAATGTGCCATTTACTTTTTCATTAATTTGAAATAGCTTTCAATTCTTTCAGTGTTCCTTCCCGAAAAAATTTTGGCAAATGCCAGTTCTCATTTGTACAAGGTTTCCAACAAGGGCTACTGGACATGTCCTAAAATTATTAACCTCAGTGCTGGAAACATTTCACTTTTCTGCACTGCTACTTCTTGTTAATACAGAGAGAAACTGTCTTCTGTTATTGCTGGGCAAAATGTTTTGCCTCTAAGTAAAATTATAGAGATGTTATTTGTGTTTTGACATCTATGAATACAGAAAGCCCAGTGCTGCTGCTTGCAAGGCATCCTCAATTCCCCGTGTGCACTCACGCAAGGGACTTTCCCTGCATCTCATCATTGTGCACTGTGAATGTAACAGGAACATAAAAGACAGCGTATCTGTCACAGATGTTCCTAAGATTTCTGCTGCTGCAATGCCTTTCCCCATTACCAAATTACACCAGGCTACATCAAGATTAATTTGGTCAAAAGAAATGATAAAAATGCAGAAAAGCTTTCAAATTGAGAGAGGTGAAAAATTTCAAATAAGATAGTTATATACCTTAGATAAATAAGATGTGCCATAGCTCATCTGGTTTTAAAAAGTAATAACAAATGTTGCTAAGTTAGAGAAGGAATGACTGTTCACTTTATCTTACAAAACATAGTGAATAAGATAGTCATGAAACTGAAATGTTTTGCTTGCAAAATTGAAGGGAAGGTTTTTTCATGCAGTATTTTTTCATGCAATATTTTTTCATGCATATTGTCCCTGGGGAAATCATTATTTCAGTGTATCTAGAGTTTATTTGGATTTAGGAAAAGAGTTGGCCATGAATAAAACCCAACAAAACAAAACTAAACCCCATCCTTACTCAGATTTGACATAATGTTAAGTAAAGAATCAAGTATTTTAGAGGAGAGATAAACACACTACTGACTTATGGGGTCTAGAAGAATCTTTACCTGAGGCAGGTGTGACTACCTCTTGCAAAACACCTTGATGTTTTATGAGGCAGCTGTGGCCAAGGGCAAAGCTCTGCACCAGTTGACCTATGGGCCTGATCCAGCACAACACTGCACAATGATGGCAGTAATTTCTCATGATGTAGAATGAGGTCCTTGCAGTGCCCTGACACCTGTTAGCTTTAGGGGGAATCTGTGTGTGTTTCCTAGGTTGTAGGGTGCAAGAAAAGTCCAGCTCAACCTCCTATGAGTTAGGGTTACAAGCTGCTACTTCAGTGTTGGGGCCATCAACGTAGCTCCAGTTGTTCAGGTACCCCTGGTAGTGCCGGTGAGGAGCCAGAGCTCCCACTGCTCCTGCCAGGAATTCTGTGTCCCTCTGCAGGGGCAGGGCACTGCCAGGCACCCCTCTGGCTGCTTAGGGCTGGGGAAAGGAAGTGTTGGACCATCTTCTACTGACCTCCAGCACAGGGGTCTAGGAGACTCCAGGTGTGCTTTTCTTTCCTGGTTTGCTCTCCTGTCTGTCAGGTGCCAGACACAGCTGATGCTGTTGCACACACTTTGGTGTCTTTTTGCTGGGAAAAAATGCTGATTGGCATCCTAATGAAACTCTAACTGAATCTAATTGAAGTACATATGATGACAGACACTGCAAACAATTAATTTTCATGTGTAAAGGAAATTCATCAGCTCCAGTGTGCCCCTGGTTTACATGAAAGACACACTGTTAAGAGTTTTATCTGATAATTAAGAACTAGCATGAAGATCAACTGTTATTTTATTCTATACAAATATGAAGCAGATACTTTGAATGAGACTATCTGAAACCGAAACCTTGGAAGTGCTTTCCAATAAATGAGGTATTCAGCATTCTAACATTTACTGCTGTAACATGATGACTTATATGTTACACTTCACAGTGAAAACTGGATGCACTTAAACATAATCAATATTGAGCTACCTGACATGGATGCTTTCTCATTCTCTTTTTAGCAGCAAATTTCATACACTCTAAGTGAAAATTCTCATTTTTTCTCATTTCTGTTCTGTGTCTGAATTCAAATCTCTCTCCTATAATGGTGGGTTTTTACTTGCTTTACTTGCTTTATTGCTGGCATTTACAATAGGTCTGTGGTGATTTGGAATCTAAATACTAAAGATATCCTATCTCTAAAGTAATGGCAAAATTATAAGAAAACCTGAGCACGATCCTAGAACATTACTCTGCCATCTGTAAGTGATTATTGGAAGTTACATTCCTGGTTGAAGGATCTCTCCAATACCCCCTCCTCCTCTTCTCCTAGATCTCTGCTGGGAAAAAAAATAACAAACCATTCTCTGGTTTGAAGAAACTGGTTCTGGTTCTCTTATAGTAGGTACATCGATAACCCTTATGGTAGAAGTACAGTCTTGCTTCTATGTACCAACAATGGCTTAGCTACATGGCAATTACTCTGATAACAGAAATAAAAAATCTAACTTTTGGAAGAGCATGTTGTCTGGTGAATCTATGTCTAAATGCTAGAAGTCACAGTGTCTTAAATCTGCAGTGGCCTGATTCAAGCACAATGTGTGAACTTTCCCAATATGCAGAGCTATCAGAACCTTGGCTGAATTATGTAGTATCCCACAAGGAACAAAAGGCAGCACTCTACAACATAGTATGTATTTTTTTCTTTGAATATTCTGGCCTGAGTCTCATCTTTGTTTGAGTCTTGGTCTTTGGCTAGTGTTTGTTTGCTAGTACCACTAGGAGATCTGAATTCATGCAAACCAAAATAGTGAGGGGTTCCAACTCGCATCTCTCCAGGCAGATGATCTCATCATAGTTCTTGGCAGCAAAACTTACACACTTGAGCAACTTCATTAACTCTGAGGGGAAAAACTTATTAATGGATTGGTACATACATCAGTAGTGGCAGAACTGGGGCTTCATGAAGATATGCATTATGGATAAAGTTCCCTAAAAACTTGACTGGCACAGATGGGTAGGATGATCCCCTATATCAGAGCACCACAATAATCCATGTGCTGTTCTGGCAGGAAGATCAAACATAAGGTAATACTAAAAGTAGAAAAGTAAAACCATCTTGTAAAAGTTGGGATTTTTGTTTTTTTGATTTTTTTAAAAAAAAATCTGTGTCTGTAATTAGATATTATAATGAAAATGCTTTGTAAAATGTCTCAAATCAGCTATCAAGCTAATGTAAGCTCTTTTTTCAGACCCACAAATTAGATTAAATTTATATTTTCTTTTTTTTTAATAAATTGACAAGAAAAATATTTAAGTTTACCCTGACCAGATTTAGTGTATGCAGAAAATATGTAGTAGATAAGTGTGAAAGACTTGCAGACAATTTGTAAGGTCAATTGCTTTACTTTTCGTACATGCTAACTTTAAAATCAAAGGAAAGCACATTTCTACAGTATATAGTTGATCAAAATATTGCAAATAATTGTAAATAATTTTGAAACAATAATAATTTTCAGAATAATGTTTACTCTTTTGACCATGTTACAAGGACTGTGAGAAAGCAGAAAAAGGGGCATACTAATAAAAGATTGCTCACATTAACACAGCTAATTTAACAGTGGGCTTATATAACACTTTTCTTTCTGGTGTGTGATATGTCCCACGTGCAGTATCTGTATTTGTTGGCAGATGGAAAAAGGGAGCAGAGGGAAGTGTTCCTCATTTAAACAGATCTGGTTTCCTTTTTTTTAATAATAACCAAGAAATAAGCTATCCTTTTATATATCCTTTATAGTGCTTGGCTATATGTACTTTGCTGCTTAAAATGGCCCTGA